GGAGCACTAGGGAGGAGGGAGGGGAGAAGGGGAGGGAGGTTAGAAGGGGAGGGAGGGGGGTGGGGATTTTGTTTGTCATAACGCCGGCCATTAATGTTAGAAATACGAGACAATGTTGTTACTAAATCAGATGATAGTTCTAATCGCCTCTTGGTGAGGAGAGCTGCAAGTAAGTAAATTGAATAGATACATTTGTTTTCAGTTACGCCATTGCTGTTTCCTTGGGTCACGTGGCACCATTTCTGCCCTACGTCAGGTGAATGTTGTAAATGTTAATATCGTTGACGTTACAGTCGTTATCATCATCATCAACAACAACAACATCAGCACTATCATCATCATCATCATCGATATCATCGCCATCATCGCCATCTCACAATCTTTTCTCTTTAGTTTTGTTGCTGTTGTTTAAGGTCATTGAGATATTATGAGATTGAGATACTATGTTGTTATTAGTACTATCATCATCGTCATCGTCATCATTATTATGAACATCATACATTATCAGAGGGTGCCAATGGGAGTACCCAATTGTCAGTTAACAACTACTTTTCGGCACAATATCAGTTAACTGTTAATAATTTTTACGAGCGCTGATCATAATATTAACCAAAATAATGAAATATCAGTTATTAGGTTATTTCTCAGTTAACTAATATTTTTGTGGCCCATTGTCAAATACCTACTAGCCCCATTGGCACCCTTTATCAATGCCATCATGTTTATCACCATTATTATCATCATCCACATTATAATGATTAATCTCATTTTCTCATAAGTTGGTTAGCATCCAACAGTCCTGAAGAGTACATCTTTGACTTTATGATGAGCCTAGTTGCCATCAACGGTATGTCAAATTAAAAATACTTCAAATATAATAATTAATCATCAATAAATTATTAATTAATCTAGATCAATTTAGAAAGCCAAACATTTCTTGCAGTGACATATTTCTCTTCTCTTTCCAGTGGCATTCATCATATACTTCAAGTTCAAGGTAATCGCTGATAACTACAAAGGACCTCATTTAGTAATTCTCTTGATCCTCAATAAGACCTGTGCTTGGATAGGATTTCTAGGAAGCCTTCTATTCTTACTCAGTGCTACATTTCCTGTGAGTGAATCTACATCAATCAAAACCATGGGCTATAGTCCATGCTTTTTGCCCGAAAATGGCCAAAAATGACCTATTTTGCATCCTTCATAAATAATGCATATTTTTCATAAAGGTGTGAAAATGG